TTTACGATTGAATCGGAAAAATAGAGGTTAAAGGTAAACAGAAAACTTGTGTGATTAAGTGACTGGATGAAACGGCAGTCTTACTGGACATCCTGCGAGATGGTGGACGGATCAGGTACACAGGGAATTCTACCATGAACGTGTCTCATAGCGGACAGGGTATGGCCCCTCGCCGGAGAAGAAGACCCAGCTGCTGGAAAGGAGACCGCCACCACCCGCCACTGCGCTGGAGCCCTTTTCGATTATCAAAAGAAGTAAATTTTTTTTTCTTTGCTCAGAATTCAATTTTAAACACACCCATGACCAAAATCGGAGCAAAAGAACTGGTTGAATGGCCGGAAAACGTGAGCAAAGCCTGGTGGCACCGTTGCAGGGAATTCTACAAAATGTTTCTGATGAGATCCTTCCCGATTCCCGTTTTGCATAATTTTTTCACCGTTGTGATCACCGTTTCCTTCTCTACAAGTTGACCGGAGCAAAACACCCAATCGCAACGTGAGCCGGAGGAGCCGCCGCATTGAAGAGTCTCACTGCCGATGAGTTTCGATTTTTTGTGTTTTTTCGGCCAACCGATACTCCTTAACATGTTTTCTCGCAGGAATTGATGCGAAATCGGTTGAAAATGGCTAAAAACAACCGATCCGAGGCGGACTGCTGTTGCGGGCGGTGGCGCCGTTGCCAAAACACGGCAGAGCCGTCGTGCCAGAATTCTGAAATTGGCCAAAATGGGCCCTGAGACTGATTTAGAGTTTGTTTGGGACATTTGTAGTACTTATAGCACGTTTTGATTCCCGAAAAAAAATTTAGGGAACTCGGGGACCTCCAGTAAGCGCTGTCAACAGTTTAGCCTTTTGGGCATCAAATTGAATAAGAATCTCTAACCCTATTCTCTGTTATAGAATTGAAGTATAATTAACAATAAATACGATATTTTGTACAATTTAGAAAATGTTCATGATTAATTACGAATTGCTAATAGAGGCAAAACTAGAAACTATTGTCTGTTGATTTCTGTTGATTGTTTTTACAGTTTAAATGCATGATAGTGATTTATTGTTTTATTTTATAGTTTTGAATGCATCTATTGTTGTTTTACATGTTTACGATTGAATTGGAAAAATGGAGATTAAAGATAAACGGAAAAATTGTGTGATTAAGTGACTGGATGAAACGACAGTCTTATTAAACATCCTGGGAGATGGTGGACGGACCGAGTACACAGGGAATCCTACTGTGAACGTGTTTTATAACAAATGGGTTATGGAGACTTGCTAATTTGGCGCTCATACCGGACGAGGTAAGGGGACAGCTCATAATTGATAATGTTAAAGGAACAGGTTCACACGTAGCGGGGACATCCCTATGAACCCTCATGGATATCAGCAGGCTAATGGAAAAAGGAATAATTGTTGTTTGATGATTTGAATATGAAAGTATAACATGTGCTATGTTGCCAAGTATATACAGAATTATGATATATATATAATTTTATTGTTTTTTATAGGTTGTTTTCTATAAATCTCACTACGGTAAGTGGACGATAAATAGTTTTATTATTGATAAATAAATTTGCTTAATTTAGCGCTCCATTAGTTGTTTTTTGATTTTTTCTACCAATCTTCATTTCTTTGTCGGTGATATAGTGTGATATTCTTACTGGGTTAATGTAACTCATCCTTTATTTAAACTATTTCAGATCAAAAGGAACAGGATCCAGAGTCTGATCCGCAAGAGGGTTGCGAGTAGAATGCTCATTTTCTTTATTTTCTGTTCATTTTCTTATTTCTTTATATTTTTTTTAAAATGGTGAATTTCGTAACATTAATTGGTATTGTAAGTTATTGTGTAAAAAATGTAAAACTTGAACATTTATTTCGCTTCCGCACTTTAATTATCATTTATTTTCTTTAGATATTTCCGGAGTCGTTACAAAAAATGTGTTTCTTTGCTTTATATATGAGATTTTGGGTAACTTTCATTTTCATTTGTTGTAATTTCAATGATTTTACATATTTATTCTATCCTTGTTCTCAACTTCTTATTATTGCATGAGTTATATGTTTAACTTAGCTTAAGCGTATGTTGACTTTTCTTTCAACTTTTAAACTTTGTCCATGGTTAACTGGGCCCATCTTAAAATTTTTATAGTGAAACTCATGTTGAGGTCATGATACTTCCCGCTGATATTTCGCCAGTGAATTTTCTGACTCAGAACTACTACTTTTCTGTCATCTATTATAGTTAATCCAATAATTAGATGAGCTCCAGTTATTGTTCCTTTTGTGCTACTAACAGTGCTCTTTAATATCATGCAGGAGAACAGCTTGCCTCTGGTGCTGATGGTATGATTTTTCAATGTGTATGGAGTACTACTTTGAAGTAGCTGGGCCATGTATCCAGTTAATTTGGTTTATCTTTTTTCTTTCTGCAGGAGGGGAGCTGGTCTTATGGAAATTACATTCAACAGATGCTGGTCAGGCATGGAAAGTCCTCAAATCTCTATCGTGAGGCCTTTACTAAACTAAAATTTGATTTGAGCCATAGAGTGCATATTCGTTCTGTTGCAAGATCACTAGTTATGCGTCTGGTTCACACCCTTTCAAGTTGGTCTTAGCCTAGAGAAGGCTGAAATTTATCAAAAGCTATCACTTATGATTCACTTGCAGAAGTTCCTACTTCTGGACTGTATGTTTTTCTTAAAATATTTCTGGGCTGTCTGTTTTCTTGTTTATTGAAATGGATGCAGGTGGAAATTCTTGGAATCAGTCTGTTAAATGAAAAATAACTTACAGTTACAAAGGGTGTACTAAGTCTGTTAGGTTCCAGGCCCTATATTCTATCAAATTATGCATGCATGGTTTATACTGTTTTGACATTAACAGACTGAGTTGCCTCAATGTGTGGGACATTTAGATTTTTCCAAATTTCGAGAGTTTGTATAATTAGTC